AGAGAGAGAGAGAGAGAGAGAGAGAGAGAGAGAGAGAGAGAGAGAGAGAGAGAGAGAGAGAGAGAGAGAGAGAGAGAGAGAGGTCTTTCCTGATTGTCTTCTCAAATGAAACATCCGAGTAACGAGAGCCTCGCCCCACCGCTTGCCAAATGCTCACCATGCCAATGTACGTCCCCCTTGAGATGAAAAAGCTCTACAACTTGTTCCCCCCGACTAAAACGTACGCTCATTATCGCTGCACCTAGACTGGAAGTTTTCCCAAATACATCTCTAATCACCGTACGTTCTCTTCGGGGGACGCCAGTAGGGCTTTCTTCTTGCATCAGGCGGCCTTTATACAGGCTGAAGAGGCAGGAGCTGCGAGGACATCCGCAGTCATTATGGTCGGGATCCGAACCTCCGTAACACGGGACGGTGGACCCTTTTTCCAGCAGATGCTGCTCCCCACGAATAGCTTGGCCGCCTTGACGTCATCTACAGTCACAAAAACAGTTGAAATTAAACTTCGGGCGTTTCCCCTGAACATAACACACCTCATGCAACCCTACCTGACCGGAAAGCTAGCTTGTATAAATTGCCCGAAGTGCAATTGCAATTTGAAACTGTTTTTTGCCCGAACTGTATTTTTAAACTCTTTTTGTGACTCCCGCGTTGTTTACCGAAAAGAGAAAGATCCTCTGAGACGAGTTGTGCCAGCTGGAATGGAATTCTGAACAGATTAGTGGGGCCTAATCTGTTCACCATTCGTTTGAAGTCGACTCAGCCATCTTTCCCAAGAGCAGAAGACAGTGCTGTGACAGGTTTGAGTAACACGGTGGACGCAGACTGGGGCGAAATCAACAAGACATCTATCTGCTCAAAGAACAGAAGGGAGAGTAAGTCTGCGAAGAAGTGGGCCCAGGACCAGTGCTGTGCAGTACCAGACCAGGAAGGAAGACTTATCTTATCAAGGTATTTAGAAGATAGAAAATATTACTGGGCATCCGGCATCCGGACTGAAAATATTTCAGTTATGATCATGTAAATACTCTTGTGAATCATCTGACAAAAATCTGTAAATAATGGTCCAGCCTGTAATTTGTTTTTTTTTTTTTGTTTTTTTTTTTTTTGAATATTTGGACCATTTCTCGATTTATGCGTGTCATCCTTGCGCGAGGGCCATTTGCTAATTTACCCTTCTCTGTATCGTTCCAATTTTAACGGATGTCCCGAAGAACAGCCTGTAAGTATTCTGTGAGCTAAGAGTGGCACTGGTTTGGCCAGTCGATTGAGGGAGAAACGCTATCCATTATTTCCGAAATTTTAATCCATTGCAATTTTGAGCGAGGGGTTTAATCTCAGATGCTCCATTTGACCTCTCCAGACCCCTTTGGCTGATCATGCTATCCTGATGGCTTCGCTGATTGATGTCTCCGTGATCCGTTTTCCTTGGGAAGAGAGCAAGGGCGAGTGGAATCCTCAGAAACCGTGACTGCCAGGCCGGCCCGGCCTGATGGGCCACGAGTCCACGACTGTTTTTCTGAGTCCGGAGGCAGTAGGACTTTTCAGAGTCTAAAATACGTTCGTTTTGTTTTCCCGAGAAAAAATCCTTATGGGAGGAGCACCTATTAATGGAGGTGCCATGGCTCCTTTCCATTGGTGGGGAGCACCGCCTGCTGGAAAGCGGGTCCGGGGACTGACCTGTGGAGCGTAAGCCTCAGGGCATGCTCACACTGCGAACGCAAATCTGCAAATTTTGCAGCCTTTATGATCGAGAAAAAAAAAAAAAAAAAAAAAGGGGCTTTGTGCCTCAGGCTGGTCACACTGACGGAGCATTCCAAATGAGATGCCGTTGCAGTAATCTGACAATAGCCATGTTGGGTTTGGTGACACCGAAGCTTGAGTCATCTGTTAATAGCCATGTCTGATCTCGGCCCACTAGCCAAGTAGTATTATACGGTCCTACAGTGGTGTGAGATGAACTTTTGCAATTTAAAAACCATCTAAAAAATGTTAAGCTTTGTGAAATTTAAAATTTAAAAGCAAAAAGGAAAATGATTTTCTTTTTTCTTTTTTGTTCGTGGTATTGTTGACCCTCAGCCAAATGAGTCAGCAACGGCTTTTTGCGAATCACATGTTGCAATGATTCGCTTGCAACAGTATACATAATATCTATAACTTTGGCAGCTGAGCGCACCTGACCGGAGTGCTGTGTGAGGCACGACGAATATGGGCATGTTTTCGGGGTGGATTCGTGGCTGAGCGCCCCTGAAAAAAAACATACAACCTCACCATATGTCAAGTGAGGGGGCTGTGAACATTCACTTCCGAGGTCAAGTGGAAACGCCTCCCTACATCGAAACAGCAACCTCACCTACCACCAAGGAAGCAGTCAAGTCGGTGGCTGCAGCTTTCATTGCCGATCCCTTTCCCTTCCGGCTCGTGCCAGGCATCTGCAGTCGAACTCAAGGAGGCGTGGCTGACTGAGGATGTGGATGCTACTTTGGTAGCAGATTTCTGTTGTACTGGCTTCCAAAGTTTGGTCCTTGCCCCATGGACAGCACTGCCAGACACAGACTCAGCGCGCAGATCACGGGCCACCCGTCAAGATAACGAAGAACAGCAGCAGCGGATCCAAACCTCCACCGCTCCCCCCCAAGCTGATGGACAGCCTTAGAGTGGCCACGTGGAACGTCCGAGGCCTAGGAGACACCTCCGGTCGCCACCGGAAGCCAGGCTCAAAAGGCTCACGACAATAAAGTACAAGTGCTGATGTTGCAGGAAACTAAGCTGGACGAACGGAGCCAGCTCGCCAACTGGTGGAGAGGCGACCAAATCTGGTCACCAGCTGACGGCACTCGTGGCGGTGTGGCGATACTCATACACCGAAATCTGCAGTTGGAAATCCTGGACAGTGAGGCCGACCTGTGGGGACACTGGGCATGGTTCCAAGCGCAACTCGGGGAGCAGCTCTGGACCTTTATGACCGTATATGTGCCTGCTGAACCAGTGGAAAGGAGGGCCTTTTTGGAGGAGCTCCCACATCTTATTCCCCCTGCTCGGAATGTCGTTTTGGCCGGAGACTTCAACCTGGTCTTACAACCTGGGCTCCACTCACCTGCAGCCATCCCACGGAAGCTGGATGCTCAAATGTTGCTGGATTACATGGAGCAAAACTCGTTCACAGACTCGTACAGGCATACTCATCCCACGGAGCATGGTTATAGATGGTTTTCTTCGCAGAGAACAGGCCACGCCCCACTTCCAAAGAGACGCCTTGATCTGATTCTAACTGAGGGGGCAGCCTGGGAATTGCTGACTGCTGCGGATGTAGTCATTGCACCAGGATCAGACCATCGGCCGGTTGTCGCCGACTTCCTCCTTGACGGTCATTTGCAGCACGGTCCAGGCAGCAAGAAGAAGAGTGCCTGGTAAACCTGCAGGAAGCTGAAGGCCATGCTCGAGACCAATCCGCTTGCAGAGCTGTATTGGCTGCACAGGCGAGACAGTCTCAGACAGATGGCTGCAGAAATGGGAAGATCTGCAGATTGAGCAGCAGATCAGCTGGGCAAACAGAGCGAGGAAGAAAGGGTTGATC